TCTTATTGTCTGTCATCAAAGGTTTTGGTCCTAAACCCATTTTTTCCATCACACCTGTAAAAAATAAAAATGATATTGTTTTGTAACCAATATGCAGCATAGAGAAACTTTTGAGGAGAAAGTAAATTGTAAAACTTTTTAAAAATGACTACAATCCATTTTGGTTCTCAATAATACCAGGGGTAATAATGATAATAATACAATGACAGAATCTCACACCCTCCCCGTGGCTTTCATTGCGTATGGAAGTTATTTTCACGAGTGATGCGGTGTATCCTGCGGCCGTACTTTCACAAGCGAAGCGAAATAGTTTGGTAGCCAATGGAAATAAGAAATATGAGAGAACTAAATAATATAATATTCATTATTACATATGTACTGCAGTTTATTTTGATTCGTCCCTGAAATCAAAATTGGTATTGCAAATGAGGTCTGAGAGCAAACAAAGTAGTCCCTTCAGGAGTACCGTTTTTCGAAATAAACAATATTTAGAAGTACGATATTTTCCCCTTGGGGTACATGAATATACTTGCCGAGTGAAATGAAATTTGAACAACAGTAATGGTACTTTTAGGCAGTCACTTATTTTGAGTCAAACTAATTTGCATATCACCCATGCAATAATGTTTTTGGTATTTTCACGGTCTATATGCAAATGAACATGGTATTTCCATTGGCTACCGAACTATTTTTATTTTGTAAACACATTTTCGTCTGCTATTTTTATACGGTTCAAATCGTTCAGCAACATTTTTGGCATGCCAGGTGTACATCACATAAAATACTATGATTCTATGATTGGGAGAACTTAATGTATGTTGATCACCCGGAAATTTGAGTTATATAAACCTTGAAGGGCTTTGCTCGTGAAAGTACGGCTGCAGGATACACCGCATCACTCGTGAAAATATCTTCCATACGCAACGAAAGGCACGGGGAGGGTGTGGGGTTCTGTCATATTACACAATAAATTTGAAAGAATACATCACAGCAACACACATGCAAAAACATGTGTGATTAGGTAAATAAATGAATGGCACCAGCACCAAGACAATGTAATACTATTATTATTATACATTTTTCCTCCCAGGAATACATCATGGGAATGCCAAAATCCAAAACATTTAGAACTGATTAAGTAAACTTCTTTGTGTCGGGTCCGGTCAAACCCTGGGGGCAGCCATGTTTGTTTTTTATTACTAGAGGACATTTACTTGCATAATCATTCTATATTTGGAATTCGCGTTTCCCAATATGGTAGGATGAAAATACCCTGTAAAATACCGCAAACTTACGGCACGCTGTATCTTATGGCGTTACGGTGATTAAAACTGCTTCATAACAAAATTTAGAAAGGTTCAATAGTTTAAGTTGTTTTGATGAATTGAATAATTGCTCCATTTTTAATGTGTTTGGTCTAAAACAATAATAATTGTTTCCTTTTTGTTTGGAAAGCTGCGCACTCAAACAGAAATTCATCCCCAAAATAGTTGCCAGGGCATAATGTACATACTGTAGAATACTTTATTTTCGCTTGGAATTTATTTTCGCTATTTTTGCTGTAGGGATGATTCCGTGAAAATAAAATCCAGCGAATAAACTTTTTTTTCTATATTTCACATTAAACTCATCAAAAATAAATTCCATACAAAACTCCCAAAAAGCCTTTTCAATGAAAATTTATTCCAGCGAAAATAAAGTATTTCACAGTATTCTATTATATGAGTAGCAACGTTTTGATAACGACCCGTCATAATAGGTAAACTACGATTACGACATCTAAATTTACATAATTGAATACGGTGAGCTGGATCAAGGCATAAGAAGTATTGTGAAATAGACAGTGAATACCAGACTTGTCAAGGATTTCCTTGATTTTATTGATACCTTTGTCATTTAAAGCTTCCATACATTCTATGAGTTAGTTTATATGATTTGCTATGAATAATACTACTCCAAAATTGCAGCATTCTGTTTTCACCATATATCATACAATTTGCACTACTTTTGTTTCATTTTATTTACAAAATTTCAGGTAAAACATTTCTATCTGAGAAAAGTCAAAATGACCCGATATTTCACAACCATACAATAAAACAGAGATATTTATTTGATTGATTCAAGCTGTATGTCAATTGGTAAACATAATTTTCTTGGCTTCATAAGTAAACTAAACATGGCAGGCCATTCCCGATTAGCCTGCTTGTGTATAGCCTTATTAAATTTTAAATTTATTATATTTAAATATTGTGCCAAGATAAACATAATCAAAAGTTACTTGCATATTGGCCTCACCAAATGTGTACACAGGATATTTTTTAATTTTCCCAACGTGAGAAATTAATTATCTTACTTTTTTTCTGCATTTACAGTTAAATGCCATTTCTTGCAGTAATAATTTTCTAAAATCAATGAAACATAAATTGGGTGGTCATTCACAGACAATAAAAGTAGAGATGCAAAAGTTATCACTTGTTTTATTTCAAATGTGTTACATATAACAAAAAGTTTAGACAAAGTCATCAATTTTAGTTTAGTTTTCACCCAGTATATTTAAAAAAACTACAAGAAATGCAAAATTGAACTTTTGTCATCAAATCTAAACATAATTCTGAATTAATAACAAATTCATGACAATCATAATTACACATTTTATATCTACACATAATTTTTTTACTATAGGTTAGGGAACAAAATTTTGAGATGAAGAGAATTGGTAAATTGCTCATCATCTTCACTGATGTTTGATTTTTTTGTTTTCAAAAAGTAGTTACGTAGTACCGTAGTATAGTTACTGTACACTTTTAGCATAAAAAAAACACATTGTCAAGTCAAAAAAATTGGATGTCATGTTTCAATAATGGGAGGCATGTGCACATTCAACTGTTATGTTCTTTATATCGACATTGCAAGCACTATAGGCATTATATGCAGTGCTTAACATCGCTAACCAGTATTTTATTGACACAAAACCTATAACTATGACCAAACTTTACACTTTGTTTTTTGACATTTACAAGCTTGCCTGTAAATTCTAGCTGTCACAGCGTGTTCTATTTATTTCTAACGCGTGTGGTTGGTGTCTTTGATTGCGATTATTTTGTATTTTTGTTTTCAAAATGTATCACTCACTGCGTTTTTTTGGTCACGTCTCGCAACTGAGAAAGTCCAAGCTGACTTTTTTTTGGCTGTAAAACTAAAAGCCCTCAAAGACGGATTCGTCAGCATCATTCACAAATACTTGAAGGGCGTCTGTGATATCTTCACCTTCAAACTGTCTTTGTCCAAAAAGTCAAATTCGTCATCTTCTTTTCCAGAGTTAGCTTTCCCAGCTAACACCTCTTGAAGTTTGATGTTCAGTGATTTACTTTCATTGACTCCACCGTCATTCACATCAGTTTTCGTTTCCTCAACGGTGGTACTCACAAAGGTAAAGGGTGTTTCCCAAGATAGGACGACGTATTCAATGCGGAAGTGTGAATTATAAACAGACCAGAAAAGTCTGGTCAAAGCAACAAAAAGACGACAAAAAGACACTTTGAAGCCCCGTCATAGCCATAACAAGAAACCACGTGGGGTTGTTTAGTGTCTGTCAATATTTTAGAACACCACATTTTCATTGGCCGAATAACGTAGAAAGAGTCGTCAATTGAAACAAATATTACAGTCTGTTGACAGTGATTGATCACTGTTATCATCATGAGAAAAAAAAGTTATCTGCAAATTATGTACTTGCTGTTGGGGAGCCACACTATGATAGCTTCCTTTGCCGAGATGCAAAAAAACTATCCCGCTACCTTAAGTACTTTTAAAACTGGTCATTGTTCAACCATCCATCAATTGTTTTATAAGCATCCTGAAAGCGCATGTGCAGTTACGATGACCGTGTTAATACAAGATATACGTTACCTGGTCTATAAGAGTCAATCAAAACATCTGATTTCATGCTTAGTCGTTTAACAATATCCAGTCCATCTGCAGACTTCATATCTACGGCGATGGACTGTTTGCCTCTAGCTAGTCGATCCACTGTCATTAATTGCTTTGTTCTATCAACTCTGATCACTTTAGCACCAAAATCAGACAGCATCATGCCTGCCATTGGAGCCGGGGCCAACCCGGCCATTTCCAAAACTCTAATACCAGCCAGTGACATATTTGTAAAAAAAAAATATAATCTGCAAAAAAAAAGTATAGCCATCAGTCATCATAATACTAGTTCCTATCTGTGAGGAATGGAATGATGATAATGACAGGAGAAATATGAAAAGAAATAAGTGACATGACACTGCATCACGTCTACTCCGCTTTCATTGGTAATTTGGTGAAAATTAGAGAATAATCAAGAGAAAATCATCAGAAAAGGAATGTTGTGCGCCAGTCATTTGCAATTCCCCCTATGCACATGGGCAGTGGCTGTTTTAAGGTTGTAATCATAAATGGTCATTGGGCAAATTGTGGAATATAACAATAAAATTGATGGCCAGTTGTTTTATTATTTGCCATCTATATACATCTGGGTTTTTTTTAACTCATCGAAAAGCAGGGAATGTAATGTAGTTAGAACGTTTCCAAGTTTTGTGTACTATATATATACTAGTATATGGTATATATATATATATATATATCAGTGCAAAGTGCAGGCTTGGGGTGGGTTAGGTTTTCTGGGTCGCAAATTACTGGTTGCAATTATCTGTGGATTTGGAGTTGCATACTTCTGTCGCTGATGTTAACACCAGTGTCAACAGTTAATGCTGGGTGTGGATTGAAAATGTCATCATCAGTGAATATATCAGGAAAACACTGATACCCCTGCTTAGAAAGTCATAACTTTAACTTTATTGACATTATTCATTTTGAATAGAACATAGTCCAATCTATAACTAGATAACAATTCCTAAATACATAAACAAAGCATACTAAAACAGTTTAACAAAAGGGCTTGGAAGAATCAGGGAATTGATAATTACTGTATCACATTATCATACTTTCTTTTACAAAAATACCAAGCTGTATTAATGTGGAAGTGTTGCCCATAATGTATTTAAAATTTGAATCTTCATCCATCAAATGGAAATTAACAGTTTTATTTTTAATTGAGTCAAACAATTTGCTCCTAATTGTAATATGTTGTGGGCATTTCATAACATAATGGAATTCATCCTCAATTGAACTTGTGTTGCATCTTGTACAGATCCTGTTTTCAACTTTAACCTTTGATTTTTCAGCGTACTCATCATTGCCTCATGGACTAAAGTGTTTGTTTTTTTTGTGCTTGTTCTTAACCAAAATTTCAATAACATTTTCTTAATAAATATTGACAGTGGTATCTACCTAATTCTCTCTACTGCTAGA